GGAAGCTCCCGGTAGAGACAAGGATGATTCTGATCCTACCACCCAGGTGGCTACGGAGGCTGCGACTGTCACGACTACGATCGGTGCTCCTGTTGAGCCTACTACTATAACGTCCCCTCTGCCGGTCAGCACAGCTGCTGTGACCGATGAGGTGGCTGTCACTTCTGCACCTCCTGTGACTGGCGAAGTGACCATCAGCACGGCAGCTGGAGAAGCTCCCGGTAGAGACAAGGATGATTCTGATGCTACCACCCAGGTCGCTACGGAGGCTGCGACTGTCACGACTACGATCGGTGCTCCTGTTGAGCCTACTACTATAACGTCCCCTCTGCCGGTCAGCACAGCTGCTGTGACCGATGAGGTTGCTGTCACTACTGCAGCTCCTGTGACTGGCGAAGTGACCATCAGCACGGCAGCTGGGGAAGCTCCCGGTAGAGACAAGGATGATTCTGATGCTACCACCCAGGTCGCTACGGAGGCTGCGACTGTCACGACTACGATCGGTGTTTCTGTCGAGCCTACTACTATAACGTCCCCTCTGCCGGTCAGCACAGCTGCTGTGACCGATGAGGTTGCTGCTATCACTGCAGCTCCTGTGACTGGCGAGGTGGCCATTACCACGGCAGCTGGGGAAGCTCCCAGCAGAGACAAGGATGATTCTGATGCTACCACCCAGGTCGCTACTGAAACTGCAACTGTCATCGCCTCGACTACGATCGATGCTCCTGTTGAGCCTACTACTATCACGTCCCCTCTATCGGTCAGCACAGCTGCTGTGACCGATGAGGTCGCTGTCACTACTGCAGCTCCTGTGACTGACGAGGTGACCATTTCCACCGCAGCTGGGGAAGCTCCGGGCAGAGACAAGGATGATTCTGATGCTACCACCCAGGTCGCGACTGAGACTGCTACTATCACTACTACGATCAGTGTTTCTGTTGAGCCTACTACTATAACGTCCCCTCTACCGGTCAGCACAGCTGCTGTGACCGATGAGGTTGCTGTCACTACTCCAGCTCCTGTGACTGGCGAAGTGACCATCAGCACGGCAGCTGGAGAAGCTCCCGGTAGAGACAAGGATGATTCTGATTCTACCTCCCAGGTCGCTACGGAGGCTGCGACTGTCACGACTACGATCGATGCTCCTGTTGAGCCTACTACTGTAACGTCCCCTCTGCCGGTCAGCACAGCTGCTGTGACCGATGAGGTCGCTGCTACTACTGTGGAGACGACCGATTCCGAGACTACTCTCAGTCCGATTGTGTAGCCGATTTAGGTTAATGAAGCTTTGTAATGTCCCGGAGTGCATCTTAATACAATCCTGGCCACTGCAGGATGCCTTGATAACGAGTGTATAAGTGTTTATCTGCCCGAGTTGCGTTGAAGGATACGTTGCGCCCCAACATCACGAGAGCATCGACGATACACCCAAATATGAAACCTATCTGGAGTGCACCAGAGCTATCTGAGCGTTCGAGACAGACGAGCGAAGGCGGGCAAGCCGCGCCAGACTGACAGCGGTGGGTGCACTCGCTTACGCACTAGCATCATGCTAATAGCATGAGCTCATGTTGATCCCCTAGGGTCTGAATTCCGATTGCTGATACACTGACAATCTTGTTGATAGTGAGCTCAAATACAGAGGTTGGATATCCTACCACTTTTGATGTATCCTTGGCAGCTCAATGTGTTCTCATCCAGGTTGATATGTGTGACACCGACCAAACATCAGGGTGGGATGCATCGGAGGGCGAGCTTTGTACTCGCGTAGCTTCCTATGGGAAATCAGCCAACTGTGGTGCTGTGTAAATGCCCAGCCGCTCAGCCAAT